TATTTATTTAGATACTGGGGGTCCAATTCAGGACCTTGTGTTTGCGAGAACCACCGAGCTAAATCCCCGGCCAGGTTTTTATTTTGAATGTCAAGTACAAATAAGCTACCTCTGTGACCTTGTATACTAGAGCTTGCCCTATTTCTTCATCATCAGTAATCATCATTACCACAGTTAGGATTAATCTACTGATGAAGAAAGAGACCTGTTCTAAGACTATTACAGGCGTTACCTCATTTAATCTTCACAGCTGCCCTAGGAAAGAGATACTGCTTTTAGAAATGAGAAGAATAAGACAGAGAGATGATAAGAACCCTGTTCAGTTTCCAGGGGTTAATTAAGTAGTGGAGCCCGTGATGTGAACACGGGAGTCTCACTGCAAAGCCATTATACTCTGAACCATTATACTTGTCTGTCAACATTGCCGCCCATTAAACTCTCTTGTGTTATATCCAAAGTGTTATATGAAGGGGTAGGGGAAAGGAAAGAAGGGAAAAGAAAAAATATGAGAAAAGGAAAAACATGGAAACAAAGTCTTTGTAAATAGGGAAGGGTGAAGGTGATGAAGGGAGAGCAGGGGAATGGGGAAAAAATAAGAACCAAGATACATCATGTAAAGGTACCAGTTCCCAATGATGAATATAACTGTATTGTATACCTAAAATGTACCAGTAAACTAAATGGAAAAAAAAAAAACCAAAGTGATTTTGATGACAGGTTGTTAAAAAGTGCCCCACTGTGATTTCAGTAAGTCATGTGTGATTTAGCATATTGTTGTATACGTGTAACTCCTTACCAATGTGGTCATAAAGTATAAGGAGTTAGGCTAGAGGTTGATAGCCTGTGTTGGTTGGTAGGAGGTTTTCCTAATCAGAAAAGTCCTCCAAAAGACTTCACCAGATGGCTAGGGGCTGGTGTAGCCACATGCCATGATGATTTGGCTTATCTTCCCATCATTCTGAGATTCCTGGTAGGAAGGCCAGACCAGGTTGGACTGAATTATCAAAGATGGGCTATTTCAAGGATATTGAAATCTAATTACTGAAAATGTTTGGATTAATATATATGTTTTGATAGAAATTCTTGGCAAAGTAAGGAGCTCAGCACTTTGTGTGTCTCTTGTCGAGTACTTGGTAACGACCTGTTGAATGGAACAAAAGATAAGCTCAGAAGTAGTCTCAGTATTGGTTGATCATGGGCAGTCAGCACCATGTGCCTGATTCCTCAAATATAAAATGAGGATTTGGAGCTAAATGCTTTCAGCTCCAAATGTTTGTCAAATAAAGAATAAGCATATGGTTTAAATCATGCTTTTTCTCTCCCTTCCAGCTTGAGCAGATGGATTTGGAAGTCAGAGAGATACCACCCCAAAGTCGAGGAATGTACAGCAACAGAATGAGAAGCTACAAGCAAGAAATGGGAAAACTCGAAACAGATTTTGTAAGTTAAATTCCTTCCTCTGTCATACTTACTAATTTTTAAACTGAATTTTCACTTAGGTTTTGTGTTGTTTCCTCTTCGTGCCTTAATCATTGTTAAGTGCATAGTCTTCAGGTGCTGAACAAAAGAGAAGCAACATCTTTCATTATTTATGAATTCGAGACCTAATGGTTATAGAGATAGCTTTCAATGGAATTTAGGGTACGTTGGATTCATTATTCATAAATAGATCCAAATCATGTAGCCCTTTGGGTCTGGATAGTATTTATTGGTATTTAGCATTCATTAGAATTTCACAACCCTGTATCTGACTTTACAGAGTGTGCCGCCTGTAAGATGTGGTGTCCACGGAGGGACTTCAGGGGCCCAAATCTCCTGAGAGTATGTGGTCATTTTAGGATGCAAGTTTCTGTATGCATTTTTTCCTGAAATAAACTCCTAGATTTATTCGGTCTGAAAAGGGACATATTATACCTCCATCAAAAAGATAAAAAAAACTACCTGCACTTTCAATTAATAATTTGAATAAGTGATCATTTATTTGATTATCCCATGAGAACATTTGGCTTTTACTTCCTATATATCTGGCTTTCAACTCTACCCACTTTATAGCAAATTAAAAAATATAAATTTCTTTTTCAGTACTGGGGTCAAAAAAATATAAATTTAAAGGTGTAATGTTAATATTGCTAGTAATTAAAGTAGAAAGAACACAACTAAGAAAATCTCACTTTTGGTTATATATCTAAAAGAGTATAAAACAGTCTTAAAGGGTTATTTACACATTCATGTTTATAGCAGCATTTTCACACTACTAAAGAGGTGGAAGCAATCTGTGTGTCCATTGGTAGGTGAACTGGCTAAAGAAAATATCTCTACATACATATCTCTACATACAATGGAATATTGTTTCGCCTTCAAAAAGGAAACTCTGACACATGCTATAACATGGATGAACTTTGAGAACATTGTACTAAAGGAAATGAGTCAGTCACAAAGACAAATGCTTCCCGAGTTCGATCCCTGGTACCAAAACAAAACAAAACAAAGACAAATGCTTTATAATTCCACTTACATGAGGTATCAGGAGCAGCCAAGTTCAGAAAAACAAAGTAGAATGGTAATTACCAAGGACAGGGGAGAGGAGAGAGAAAACAGTTGTTTAATGGACATAGAATTTCAATTTCACAAGATGAAAAATCCTGTCGAGCAGCTAAACAATGTGAATATATTTAACATGACTAAACTGTACACTTAAAAATGGTGAAGATGGGGGTCAGGGATTTATTTACCTCAGTGGTTCCATCACCTGCCTCACAAGTGCAAGGTCCCGAGTTCAATCCCTCGTACCAAAAAAAAAAAAAAGGTAAAGATGGGAAATTTTATGTCGTATGTATTTTATAATTAAAAGTAGAAGTTTTAAGGATACAGATAAAAAATATAAAAACGCTGCTAGTAGTAAAAGGATAAAGAAAATTAATTCAAATGGTAGCTAACTGCTCTTATATAGGTTAGTGTAGGAAATTAGGATTTCAGTAAATAAATTTCATGTAAGTCACAGGAACAAAAAGACACAGTGAGAAAGACCTGAGCCTTACCCGTGACTGGCAGATGTCATGTGCTGCCACATAAATCAGCTTCGTTTCTGAGTCTGGGCTTCAGTTTCATAAAGGAAGTTAAGGCCTTAGAAGGAAGGGTCTCCACGTGTCTGTTTCTCCCTGAGGTATTTTACGTGTGGAAACTGACTATACCTGCTAGGCTACCCGATACCTTTCTTTACCAGAACCTAGACATAGGGTGATTTGCAGTTACACATCTTTATTTAATATTTTAATGGGTATTTTCCTGAGAGGCTAAGATGGGCTGCCTTAGTTACTGTCTTAGTCAGCTTTCTGTCACTGTGATAAAATGTCTGAGATAACCAGCTTTAAGGAGGAAAGAATGATTTTGGCTCACAGTTTCAGAGGCTGCATTCCATAGTCATTTGGCTCTGTTTTTGGGCATCTTGGTGGGGAGTGTGGTGGAGCAAGTCTGCTCACTTCATGGCAGCCAGGAAACAGAGACCGGAAGGGGCTGCAGTTTCAGTGTCTCCTTCAAGGGCGCACCCCAGTGACCTCACTTCCTTCTACGAGCCTCCGCTCCCCAAGATTCCACCAGCTCCCAACAGTACCACAGACTGAGGATTCACCATGTGGGCCTTTGAAGGACATTTAAGATTCAAGTCATTAATGCCTATTAAACTGTGCTCTTATCAATAAAAAAATGGAATCCATTATGGGTTGAATTCAGAAGAGAAATGTAAATAATTAGTTTGTGTTCCATGAACCTGATGAAACTTTCTCTAACTTCTTTTGAGAGGATGGTTTCTCTCAGGAAGTGTGTGAGAAAGTTGGATTGATTTAAGAGTTTGATAACTCCAAGTTCATTTTATGGAATGCTTTTCCAAATACAGTATTTTTTTCTTCTGGGTTTTAGAAAAACTAAGTGTATTATATTAGTTTGCTGCCGCCCTCATAACAATGTACCACAGTCTCGGTACCTTAAACAACAGAAATTTGTTTTCTCACAATTCTGGAGGCTAAAAGTCCAAGGTCAAGGTGACTTCTTTCTGAGGCCTCTTCCTTTGGTGTGTAGGTAGCTCCTCTCTGTCTCTCACATAGTCTTCTGCGTGTATCTGTGTCCTAATTTTCTCTTCTTATAAGGACAATGTCGTTGAATTAAGGCCGAAATAATGTCCCCCTTTAAATGTAATTACCTCTTTGAAAACCCTGTCTGCAAGTACAGTCACATTCTCAAGACTAGGGGGACTAGGATGCCAACATATAAATTTAGAGGAGGCACAATTCAGCTCAGGGCACTGTTTCATTTTAATCTTTTCTTTTTAAGGTTTTTTCCAAAGTTAAATTATTTCTGTGGCTTATTATGTCATCTAACCCAATGTCCAATCTACTTTGTTTCCTAACGAGTTTAATATTGGGTAGAATCCTTTATTTTAGGTATTTGGAAATTGTATTCTTGGATAAGTATTCTTTTCTTTGCTATATTTTTTATTATAAAGAAAAATGGAAGCAACAACTATGAACTTAAAATTTAGGCTCTAGGCTTTTATTAAATATTTATGCATATACATGAGATACATATACTTATGCCTGTATAGTGTATGAGTATACCTCAAGAAACTGTATCTCCACAGCTTCTACTTTGTCAGGATACATCTTTCCCCACTAGCACTATGTCTATTGTGCAGTGATTTGTAGTTTACGAAGTATTTTAACACGCATGATTTCAATTCTGGTATGGAGAGCAGACAAGATGTGAATCACATCCATGACACAACCAGGGCTCGGGCTGATGACAGATCCCTCCAACAAGTCTTTCTTGAGTACTACAGTGTGCCAGACACTGTCCTAGGTGCTGGAATACATCACTGAACAAGATAAAGTTCTTACTCTTATGGAATTTAAATTCTGTTGGAGTAAAAAATATCTACTAGGGAATATACTAAACAAATAACCAAATACGCATAGATTATAACTAAAGAAAAATAAAGCAAGTAAGTGGATAAAGAATGACCACAAAGGTCACTGTGGCTATTTTTGTTAGGGTGTTTTCTGTAGCTTACAAGAGAGAAGAAGAGAGATATGTGGTTATGAAGGAGGCAGAAGAAAGAACTCTTATGGCATTGTAGGCTATAGTACTTGGCTTTTATTCTTGGTTGGCAAGAAACCACTAGAGGGCTGAGACAGGTTTTTGCTATGCTCCCCAGGCTGGTGGCAAACTCCTGGGCTCAAGTGTTTCTCTTGCCTCAGCCTCCTGAATAGCTGGGACTGCAGTCAAACACCACCATGCCTGGCTCTGTGAGTGGTCCTTTGACTCTTGTTTTATAGCTTTCCTCATTTTATCTTACCACATCACATGAGATATTTGAAAAGAGTTTACAAAATATTTATGTAATTCCCTTGACTTAATTATTTACTTTTTACATTTAATTCTTTTATTTTTAAAAGAAGTGGATACCTAGAAATACTGAATTTCAAGAAAAAGGAGCAGAGGTAGTCTTTCATCTCTCTCTGTGTATTGCAAATGAAGCAGTTCTTCTGTTCTCTTTGTGACAGCAAGACTTTTGGGAACACTTATTCCTGTGGAGAGAGGCAGAGGACAGTGCAGTACCTCATGGTCCACTTCCTTGCTTTTTCAGCCCCCTCTGCTGTGGCTGATCTTTATATGCCTGGATTCTGTAGACTTCTCCACTTCCTCCACTCTTCTTCAGTGCCCTCTCAGCCACTCCTATGGGTTCAATGACCATATCTATAGGAACCTATAGTTCCAGTGCAGATCTCTTCACACCTCTAGATTGCTATTTCTTATTCCTTACTGGACACCTCTATGTGAGAGACTCTTAGGCAGTGTTATGGTTTATATCTAGATGTTTCCCCAAACCTTCATGCATTTATAGGTTGGGCTTTGGGGAATAAGTGGATCATGGGTGCATGATACTGGATTAGCCCACTGATTGGTTTAGCATAGTTTTGGGTGTGGCTGAATGGATTAACTGAAGACAGAAGGCCTACCCTGGGTGTAGGTGGCACCAACCAATAGGCTTGTAGCCTTAATGGATTCAAAGAGAAAGACTTGCTGCTTCCCGCCTACCCGCCATGGACTGTTTCTCCTCTGCCCTGTTCCTCTGCCATGCTGCCTTGTCTTGGAGCTAGCTGACTCTGGACTGAAACTTCTGCAAACTGTGAGCTAAAAATAAACCTTTCCTCCTTTAACTTGTGGATGTTGGGTATTTTGTCTCAACAAGGAGAAAGTAACTAAGACTGGCAGTAACACTCAGTTTCTATATGAACCAGTCACTTCAGAGTTATCTCTAATTTTTCCTTCTCCATAACATTCCATAACTAATTGGTCACTAAGTATTAGCAGTCTTATCACTTAAATATCTCACACATTCATTTCTACTACTGGAAGCCGCTGTAGTTTCTCCATCTGAGTGATTA